TTAGCCCAATTGACCAATCGTCAACCAAACCTCCTTACAACAGAGGTCGCAAGGGATTGCCATTGTCAACAGATGCAGCGTTATTTGCCACCGGGTCCAAGTCAACCTGCACATACTGCTGAAAGGATCATGCATCTAATGCCTGTAAGAACGTGACAAGCATTGTAGCGAGAAAAGAGATTTTGAAAAGGGCAGGACAGTGTTTTGTTTGTCTAAAAAGGAATCACATAAGTAAAAATTGCAGTTCAAAAATGAAGTGCCTCAAATGCAGACGTCAGCACCACATCAGTATTTGTACAAGTGACACTAACAATGAAGTCAAGTCTTTACACACTCTGAATGTTGAGGGATCAGCTTCCGTACCTCAGAGCCAAACATCATGCAGCCCTCCAAGAGAATCTAGTGGGAGGCTCACAGTTCTGTACGTCAATGTGTCAACGCCCATCCTTCTTCAGACTGCCAAGGCAGCAATTTACAGACCTGGTCAACCTAATGACAAGTTTCTAGCCCGACTAATTTTAGACAGTGGCAGTCAGAGATCCTATGTGACCACCACAGTAAAAGACAAGCTAAGGTTACCAAGTGAGAGAAAGCAGACTATTTCTGTAAAAACATTTGGTTCAACTGAAGAAAACACTCAAAGTGTGGATGTTGTTCACCTGTGTATCACTACTGAGCATGGAGATGACGTGCAACTGTCAGCATTTGTTATACCACTCATCTGCGATCCTCTACAGAGCCAATCCATTGTACATGCCAGTGTTACTCATGCACACTTAAGGGGACTCAAACTTGCTGACTACTCCACAGGTGAAGATGACGTAATGGTAGACATATTAGTTGGATCAGACCAATAGTGGAAATTAGTCTCTGGGAAGGTGGTACGGGGGGGATGACGGTCCCACTGCAATTCAGACAAAGCTTGGATGGGTTCTCTCAGGACCTACAAATGGAGCAGTGCAATATGACCAACAGCAGAACAACCTTATGACAATGCATGTCCTGAAGACGGCTACAAAACCTGTGAACATTACAAATGAGAGCCTTGATGGAAGCCTGCAGAGGTTCTGGGACCTAGAGTCATTGGGTGTCAGACCAAGATCTGTGTATGAAAAATTTGAAGAAAGGATAACCTTTGAGAAAGATCGATACAAGGTGCATTTGCCATGGAAGCTGCTAAACCCAATTCTTCCTGACAACTATAAACTGAGCATGAAGCGGTTGGGTAACCTACTCAAACATCTGAACCAAGATCCTGAAGTCTTGAAGGAGTATGATTCAGTAAAAAAGGAGCAGCTGAAAATGGCATAGTTGAAGTTGTAGAGAAGCCAGCTGATAGTGAAGTTGGGAAGACTCATTACCTTCCGCACTATGCAGTTATAAGACGAGATAAGGCAACAACCAAGTTTAGAGTCGTATATGATGCCTCAACCAGATCTTATCGTGCAGCCTTGAAAGATTGTTTTTACACAGGACCACCCCTTGCAGAGAACATTTTTGACATTCTCCTGAGATTTTGAGCTAGCAGAATAGCCCTTACTGGTGATGTGGAGAAGGCGTTCCTGATGGTTGGCATTGCAGAGGAAGACAGAGATGTGCTAAGATTTT